CTGAAATTGCCATACAAAATTGCCAAACAGTTGGGAGCGTGGATCCAGCCCCCCCCCCCCCCCCCCCACACACACACATCACAGCAACCTGGATCTACATCTAACCTCCAGCGACCATATCGTGCAAGTTGTGTCAATACTGGACGTTCCAATCAAGTTCGGGTCGACCTCGTTCCAGTCAAATGATGTCAGCGGTGCGCAGTAATCCGACGATTTGTTCTGTACGGGACCAGGGTGAGAAACATACATGCACGCATGCACACACACACACACACACACACACGCACACACACACACACACGTGCAATAGAGTGGTCACTTCGATGCGATTCATCGGCGTGCGCAAGGGCACAGGATCCGGAACAAGAGTGACTTGTGTTTGGTGGACTGTTAATGTTAGCAGCATTGGCTACCATGCCTGCATGACCCGGATACAAGTACAGTGCTACTCAATGAAATCCAGTCGCGTCACTCAAGTACACGCCAGGCAGTGCGTAGCCCTAGACCTGCGAACACTGGTCTGCCAAATTGTGCAAGGCGCAAACTTGAGTGACGCGAGACTGGATTTCATTGAGTAGCACTGTACATACGGTGGATTCCTGAGATAGGTTGCCAAGACAACAGTTCGGCACATGCCTCTCTTTCACACCCAGTTTCACATTCTCTTTTTCTCAGTCCTGTTTCAATATGTAGTCGGAACGTCTTTTTGTGTCTCCCCTCGTCGTTTCCCCAATGCAAGTCTTCTTCAACCTACTGTATTTCACAAATTTTCGGTGTACTTTTATTTTCGGTACTTTCGGTGCATCTGTTTCGTACCTAAATTTTCAATACACCGAACAAACACTTACACACATAATCCAATAGGGAACTGCTTCTCTGCACCTCAGATTTCTGTTCACCTAACCTGGCCTTTTGCCCTCATATCGAAAATATTGAGCACCTAAAATTTCTGAAATTACAGTCCATTTCAAAACTATAGACGCGTACCTAGGCGAAAACCGTTATGCCAGCATCTATACCACATAAAATCTGTGATCACTTTGTGCATAAATTTTTCCAAATTGGGCGTCTGTTATCCAATCGTGTAGAAACTATATGAGAGTGATTGTGGAGCGGACCTGAGCAATATTCCGAAAACTATTCTCAAAAAGTTTCAGCCAAATTGAAATATTTCAAAAACACGGCGCGTCTATAGCTTTGAAATGGACTGTAGAGTATCTCGTCATTGGTGTGAGGACTAACGAGAGTACATGACCCACTAGGAGTGCGCAACTCCACTATGGGTGCTGTCCCCATGGAATAAGCACTTTACACGTATTATTAGGCTGTGTTTACATGAGAAATTTCCACCCGGGTCGAGTTCAGCCCGGGTTGAAAGTCTGTACGATAGACAAAAGAGGTGAACGTTTACATGAAGACAGTTGACCCGGGTCAAATACTGATATGCCGCCAAAAGTCTACTTCTAGAGTCCTGCATGGTCACGTGAATCCGTTCGCGCGAAATTTGCATGTGCACTTTTTGTGCAGTGCTGTTCAAACCTGGCGCGAGATACGCACAGAAGTACGTTTGTACGATTTTCTTGACCCGGGTTGATTTCAACCCTCCCCTTGAGGGGAGGGTTGAAATCAACCCGGGTCAAGCACAATGCGTCATGTGAACGCGCCATTGATTTTGTGTGCATGGCGGGTTGAAATCTGACCCGGGTCGAACTCAACCCGGGTTGAAACGCCTCATGTAAACACAGCCTTAGATGTGTCCTGAACCCGTGGTGGACAAAGCCCCATTTGATCCTGTACAAACCAGTTCAAGGAAACACGTGATGCGCTGATACCCCGTACAAATATCCTAAATCACCGGTGGCATAAGTATTGCATCATAAAAAATGACGTCAACCTGAAATTCTGACGGGGCAGCAGGGTATGTAGGAGTTGCACACTCCTGGGGATGGGGGTTATGTACTCTTGGTACTAACCAAAGGCAGCTATGGGAGTTCAACACTTACATTGTTCAAGAAGCACTCAAGCTTGGTCTCGCCATCATCCTGGACGCGCCAAAGCCGGAGGTAGTCACCGGTAGTAGCCAGAAGATCAGGATAGCTACTATGCTGTGAACAGGGCAAGATGTTTAGGCAAAAAACAAAAAAAAATCACGGTTCGCGTGAGACTCTGTTTCTCTATATTGAGGCCGAGTTTTCCGCATCCGTAGGAACGCCACCACCCTTCAAGGATCAAGGCGCAGATGCAGCTCCTAAAGCGGTGGGAGGTGAGTAGATCAGCTCACCAGCATGTGGTCAAAGACCCAAAATCCCATTCACTGCATCCATGTTTTCCTCGTGCCAGGCCACGAGTTCCCAATTAACTGTGGGTCGCAGCACGGCTGGAAAAAATCCTTCCGCTTCCAAGCAGGACTTGAACCTGGTACCCTCTGTTTCTCAATCATGGTCTTTTTTAGGCAAGAGTAGATAGAAATACAAGACTGATTTATGTACGCACCATGGACTAACACAGGCAGATAGGCAGAACGCAGAGTGCATGCAGTGATAATTTCCCCCGAAATAAGATCGAAGATTTACACAGCTTCACGACAATGCTAGAAAAACAGACCCAAGTGTAAGGTTGTGACTCTGGGTTCATAAACATAGGTACCTTGTAGAAACCAGACAATACGAGGATAGTGAAATGCAGCGACAACGGAGGTAGTAATACACGAGCCAGGCCTTGTACGGACCTCTAGCACCTTCATGGCAATAGTGTGCGTATACATCAGCACAGGGGGTTGGACTTTGCTTACGAACGCCGCACATGGAGTGCACCTACCGGATCGGGAATCCACACAATCTTCGTCGTCGGGTAAGGATGCTCAAACGTGCTGTTCACGGAGAAGGACCCGGTCTCCTCGTCGAGCGAAACAATCTGACACTGCAGCATTGAACAACAAGAGAGAGATCACCATTCAGCACATGCCGATGAAAAATCAAACAACGAAACGGAGATACGCTTGACGCCTTTTGAGAAGCCTGAAGATTAAATCACGCTGCATACCGATGTGAATAATGCAAGACGGCACCGAAAACTGCATCAACACGTACTGCGTGTGTGCATAGCAACGGAACCAGTGGTGCTAGAAACTTCACTGTCATACGCTTTAGACGTCATCACTTCCAAGCCCTACAGAACTGCCGAAGAACTGGGGGGGGGGGTCAGCCTCCTAGCCTAGGCCGTTTTTTTATTTTTATCCGCAGTGGAGTCACTGCGTATATTTCTGGAAATTCTGGCTTGCTTTTTCTTCGGCGCCTGGCAGTAGTACTGTTCGGGTCGACCGCCAAAAGCAGGTGGAACTGTATTGCTTGTTTCATAGAAATAGAGTTCAGATTAGAGACAGGTTGATCGGTCTAAACACACACACCCAATGGTCTCTCCACTGCGAAAATACCCTTCTCTTCAGCAAAAGTTCAGGCATAGTCCATCACCAGGATGAGAACATTCTTGAGTAGGGAGTGATGCCCGAGGATCGCTAGAGCTGAAAGTCCCAGTTGCAACAAATCGCTACAACTGCTAGAAAGCTCTGCCGGCAAGAGTGCATAATCCCCCAGAGTGTGCAACGCCTGATCCAGCTCTGCATAGGGTCTTGGCCCAGCGTAGTCGGATCTTCTGATGTCATGCGTACACTCCACACCAGCGCAAGGCCGGTCTCGAGGCAGGGCACCGTTGTTTTTTGATCCGAGAGTACCCGCGATTCCCCGGGTTCCCCTCAGATGTGCACGGCATTATGACGCAAAGATCCGATTACGCTCGACCAAGACCCTATGCAGAGCTGGGTCAGGTGTTGCACACTCCGGGGGGGGGGGGGGGGGGGGGGGGGGTATGCACTCTTGGTTACGCTTACCTAGTTTCACACACAACACGTAAGTAGAAAGAGCAGCCATCTCAATGCTTGCAACCATTATCAGACATCATCATGCCACGTGCCACCTTCTACTTGGAAGGTACGGACCAGAAGTAGAAAGTTGTACACATTAGAGAGGTTCTGCAAAACGAAAATTCGAACGAAGTTTCGCGACAGACCTTGCGAAAGTGTGTACGAATTTTCGCACAACCTTTGCGTTCTGCACATTTTCGTAGTTTGCACGGGCCAAGTGCACGTACGCCATGACCCGATCTCACGAAATTTCCTACTTGAGTACGAAAGTTCATTTCGCGTTCCCTGCAAGTTTCGCATCCAAAGTTAGTTGCGAAAGTTCGTGCGAAGTTTCGCACTTCATGACGTAGAGCGAAAGTTTGTACGCATTTTCGTTTTGCAGAACCTCTCTAGCTCTATTGATTGGTTCATATTTTAGGATTGAAACAAGGCTGTGGGAGCCTATCGAGTGAGCTAGTGCCTCTCCTCAACAGGACTTTGGTGCAGCATACACAGCCCCACCCCAGTTGGAGAAGGGCTGCGGCCCAATACCTTACAATCGACAACTCGACACCGTCAACTAGCCAAAGGTGGCTCCCAAGCCTACATTCATAATTAATTTTTTTGAAGTCCCTTCATGATTCAGTATGATCATGATGCAATAAATCATGGGCTGCAGCTTCGAAAAAAGTCGCTTTGATAATGATACGATTGATGAGGAAATTCGCAGCAGGAATTCCTACCTTATTACTGTATTCTTCTACGAAGCTGCCCAACGCTAAACGAAATCGTTTATCAGGTCGAATGCTCCAGCTCATACTGTACAAGCGCCAGGGGGCTGAGTACTTGTAGATCTCCTTCCGCTTGGGAGCTCGCGCGGAGGTCGCCATGGCCGGCTTGTGAACGCCAATATAGTTGGCATGAACCAAGTCTTCAAAGACGGTCAACAGCCCAGACTACTAACGGCAACACACATACACTCGGAGGCTCTATCTCAGAGCTCCGACAGCGTCAGGGAGACGACGATCTCAAGGTAAATGTCGTTGCAAAAGTGCAGTGGTGCTGTTTCTAGGTGAGATCAGTCAAGGCTACATATGTACATAACAATGCGCGATCGATCTTTTCGGGGAACGACAACGTCGTCTTCTTTCTTCTTGATTTACCCGCGATTTTTTCGCCTGGATTACGTCACATGGCTTTTGCATTACAATGTCAATGATCAATCATTCATGACCGATATCGCGATATGGCATTGCTGTATTCATGGTATTCTTGCTGGGACAAGTGGATTGTCCAAGCTCTCACAAAAAGACGAAGAAAGGAAAGAAATATTACATGAGAGTGTGAAGCATGCAATCCTATAAGAGAAAATTAATATTGATATCCTTAGCCCATCATCGTGACAGCCACAATCAAGGACTACTAGTACTACTCCCTGGCCACAGTGGCTGGTCAGATCAGCAGCACAGACAACTGAGGCCAAGGGAACGCTGACATCAGTCCTGGAGATCACAGTGTCCTAGATAGGACCGTTCACCTGACCATGGACATTGCCTCTTCCTCCAACCTACTCGGACATAGTAGTGTGGCAATAATAATAATCTTTATTTCAGGATTACCCAAAGGCTGACGCCTATCGGGGGGGGGGGGGGGGGGGGGGGGTCCCGTGTGCAATGAACATTGGAGTTGGCCAGAGAAAGTGTGCAAAATGAGTTCGGAAAAAGAGAGATGCAGTACAAAAGATACAGTGAAAGAACAAGCAGTGTAAATCAATGATTGCACATCAAAACCGGGGATCATGAGTGCAGTCGAACTGAATACTTTGCAATGTAAATACGTAAATGACGCTTGAATTCTGTTAGGGAACCTAAAGTTGTCAATCGGGGTGGGAGACAATTCCAAGCGTGCACCAGTTTTCTGTAGGAAGAGGCATGAGAAAAATGCGGCCCGTGATGATGGGAGTTAAAAATGAGCTTTTTGGGCCTACGGGCACTACGTGAGATGGTAATCGCAAAGCGAGAGAGATAGTCTGGTGGAAATTGATGCACTCAAATAAAACACCCAGAGAAATGAAGACACGGCGAAATTGCAGTGATTCCAAGTCACAATCTATTCAAATTTGATTTAAATTCAAAGACTTTAAAAGTTGTCAAAGTCTATTTTCGCAGACCTCAGGAGTTGCCGGCAACCCTTAGCCTGGAGTACATCAAGGGACTCTAACTGAGCGGATGTGATCCTAAGGGACCAGACAGGAATGGCATACTCAATTGCCGGACGTACGTAAGACTTATAGAGGAGAGCAATGTGTGATGATGGTAAATGGCGGCCCATGAAGCACAACAGATTAACACGTTGCTGGAACTTCCTGAAGATGGTGTGGAAGTGGTCGTGGAACTTCAAACCATCACTGAGCTCTACACCGAGATGCTTAGCGGAGCGCCCAGATCCGATTAAAACGTTGTCCATAGACACAGAGGAGGATTCAGGAATGTTGTAATTGGGCAAGATGAACGTTTTTTCAGGAGAAAATTTGCCATGTATTTTCATATCAAAGGAGGAGCAAGGTGATTCCACATCGCCAAACCTTCACATTGCCTGAACAGATTGCTATTCAAAATTGAACTCAAACCCAGAACGAATGCTAACAACCCACGACCATCGGACAATGACAAGACTTAGGGATAGTGATACATTATGATATCGGATCCACCTCCCACAATGCTCTTCCAGAAGGTTCATCGCAACGTCGATACTCCCAGAGACAGGGATGTTGGAGTAAGGAGACACGACATCCAACCGTTGAGCGATGCAACACTATACAGTCGGACGGAAGATTCGCCGGGAGGAGCTGATTGAGTCAATGATTCTATCGAACAGCATGACCATGCCTGCTTGTTAATTAGCCACATGTGCATACGACAGGTCGCAAAGGAAGCTCAGGCGCGGCCTGTGGTCCTTCGGTCGGGAGACCGTAAACTGATTGTCGTTTTCGTGAGTTGCGTGCCGTCGATACATCAACGACTGTATCTTGGTTTGGTTGCATGGTCGTCAGAAGTTGATGGAGTCTGTATCCTTTGGCTTTGTGAACAACCGACATCCTGACATCAAATCCACCATCGACTACAGTACACACATGACGCGAATGTACACATCACGAAAACCGACGTCCTTTCCTTTCAACCCCAATACAACACATCATTCACATCACACTCCACTCGACCCTGCTGCAGCAGGTTCACCAACATAGGCACCTTGGTGTTACACTCCAAGACGATATGTGGTGGACCCAACACAATCTGCCAATAACGCTGCACCAACTTCACAAGGCAAGTGTCACAATGAACGCCTCCAGCCCATTATCAATACTAAGTATACACAACCGATACATCCGACCTGTTCTCGAATATGGCAACATTGCCCTCTCCAACACCACACAGCAACAGCGGGACACACTGGAGACAATCCAGCACCGTACCATAAGCATCTGCCTTCGGATTCCCCTCAGAGTCTTTGCACCAGTTCACCACGTTCCCCCCTCCATCATGCAAAGCTTCCCACCCTTTGTTCACGACTTTAAGCTCTACTAGCATGGGATATCCACCACCAAACCTCCCCACCACATCTGCAACAACCACGTCTTGCACCACAACGTCAACACCAACCATCGTGAGAATAAAGAATTCCAAAAAGAACATATACCCTTCGACAGACAAGGATCTACTGCATCGGACTCGCACACACAAACAGGCAGCGAGTTTCTCCCATCAACAGTTCCCTCGCCCTTTACAACTCACTTCCTATCGATATGACAACCCAAGGTCGTAGAAATTCTTTCCGAAACAATGCACCCAGTCTTCTTTGGAGCAGTACGTGTTCCTGCTTTGGGCACCCTTCTGGTTTCTGATATCTCGAACGCGTATCTCGATCACCCCTGCCATTGACCCGGGCCCGCTTGTTTTTCATGATCCATTATTCATTGCTATCTGCACCCTACAGCCTCCCATTATAATGGACCTCCTTTCAATTTAGACTGTCTTTGGTAAATCCTCAAATATATAACACCGGTAATGAAAAAGTCGGTGTGGAGACAAGAAACCTACTAATAGTACTATCGACGAAGTAAAATGAGCGCACTCATACCATGAGAACAATGGAACAAAATGCTATGATTTGAACATCGTTTTCATGTGATAATCATCAGAAATCTTCATCACAATGATGATAGTTGGACAACAAAACAAAGGAAAGATATTAAATTTTATGGTACCATAACGTGAACATCATTAGATCTAAAACTAAACTGTTCAGGATGAAACGTTTACGTCACCTTCTGACATTGTAAATGTTTTCAAAAAGCAGTTCGTAGCATTTGGCACCTCCAACAATCAAGAGTGGACTATCCCGCCCGTTGCTGACGCTGATAGCACCTCCATAAGAACAACTCCTGCCAGCGTTGCTAAGTACATCAAACGCCTCAAGCTGCGCAAGGCAGCTGGCCTGGATGGTATCACAAACGAACTACTAAAGATCCTTGATCCGTCAATCTGCGATCCATTGAGTTTAATTTTTAATCTGTCCTTCTCATCTTGTGTCTTTCCATCTGTCTGGAAACGCTCCGTTGTTGTCCCCATTTACAAAAATAAGGGCAGCAAATCCGATCCAACAAATTACCGTCCTATTTCCCTCCTTTCTGCAATATCGAAGCTGTGTGAGCGCGTCATGTACGACCAGTTGTATGCCCATGTAAACCCTCTACTATCTCCAGCCCAGTCTGGATTTCGCAAAGGAGATTCTACCGAGTGGCAACTTGCACGCTTTACTCAGAACCTGTTGGAACGCAGACATCAGCACAACTTCAGCCTAGTTTGTTTCTTCGACTTATCAAAGGCCTTTGATACAGTGTGGCACCGTGGTTTGTTGGCCAAAGTCGCCTCCTTTAACATCGGTGGCAATGTTCTGCGGTGGCTCGAAAGCTACCTATCCTGCCGGGTCCAACAGGTCAGGGTGTCAGGTTCGCTGTCCCAACCGCTCGAAGTATGTTCTGGTGTGCCACAGGGCTCAATACTTGGTCCTCTTCTTTTCTTGCTCTATGTAAATGACTTAAAACTCGCGTTCCAAATACCTCCCTGTACGCCGATGATACTACTCTTGTGGCATCTGAACTTTCCCTGCCCATGGCGTGTAATTCTTTGCAGTCGGAAATTCGCTCAGTGGTTGAATGGATGCGTCTCTGGAAACTTCGACCTAATGCTGGAAAGACTGTCATATTGTGCATTCCACCTTATCCGCGTTCCGATCTTTCCTACATCGACCAGTACCTATTCCACTTCCCTGACGACCGGACGCCCATCCCAATTGTTAGCCACCACAAACACCTTGGAGTCATCTTTGACTCAGGCATGAGTTGGTCCCACCATCTGGAGTATCTCGGCTGTTGGTGTTCTATACAGTCACATGAGCCATTTACCACTAGTCTGTCGTCGGGCTTACTACGCCTCCTATATCTTACCCATCATTTTATACTGTTGCATTGTGTGGTGCAGTGCTGGAGCAGGAATGCTCACGCGGCTTGAACTAATGCATCGCAGGATTTTGAGAGCGATATTTCGCTTCCCACTTGACACCCCATTAACAATTCTGTATTCCCAATGCAAAACCTGTCCTTTACAAACCATAATTCACAGACTCTGCTGTAGATTTATCCATCAGATTAAACTGCTGAAGACCCCAATGCATATTCAAAATGCGCTTAACTGGATTAACTCCTCTTCGTCAAGTCGTAATAAACTAGGATTCCCTATTTCAAGAAATAACTCAATGAGTCGCTCGCCTGTTTTCATTAGCTATTGTCTCTGGGACTCACTTCCCCAAAAAATGCAATCATGTGAAAACATTTCTGCCTTTGTTCGTGATCTCTCGGACCATTTCCCGTAAACCTAATAATACAACTTGATTTGCAGCCCAATCTCTTCTTTTATTGTTGTTGTTCTGATTTGCACTTGTTTTTCTTTCTTCTTCTTTTTTTGCCATGGCTGGCTATAATCGCCCTCACCTCCTCCTTGATTGGCCTTGGCCATGAGTGTGAGCGTAATAATAATACCG